TGTGAACCTTGCGCGTCATGGGTGATCCATCCGCCCTCTGCTTTTCTTTCTTCGTTGTCACTCTGGAGAGAGAAGGCGAGAAAACATTATCCACTACCCTTTAGGCCTGATGGGTTATGCACTCTTCGACTTTTCCCATTTTTTTCCGCTTTTTTTTCTTCGGTCTTCCCCACCCCACCCCATGCCCCGTCCTCTCGAGGACGCGTGGCCAATGGTCAAACAACTAGGCATGCAAAACATGAGTCCGCCCCCCCCCCCCCCTCTCCCTGCCGAGAGCAGGCGGACCCCCAGGCTCTCGCGGTTGTGGATGGCGAGGTTAGACTACGACCCGTAAACACACCGGCGATGACGCCGACGATGCTGCCGCACGGCCTCTCCCCCGATGGCCTTGCGGAGCGTTTCTCCCGGCAGGACGTCTTGTCTAGGGAGGAGGCGGAGCAGCTGCTTCGGCAGGTGCGGGGGTCTATTTGCTATTCATGTAATATATAATATGGTGGTATGTATTTCATGTATTATGATCGTATGTATCTCATGTATGGTGGTATTATAGTATGATGGTGTGAATCTGTGCCAGGTTCGGTGCTTCTGGATCTATTGGGGGGTGTCTCAGGGGGGGCTCCGTGAGCGTTATTGGTCGACGAGAGTGGTATTGGACATGATTGTTGGTATTGAGCATGGCATGCGACGACGTCATTGTTGTGGCTGATGTTGCGTTCGCAGGGTCTGGATGGATTTACTCTGCATCAAGTAGTTTCATGCCATGTTTTTGCAACGGGTCTCATCCCATGCTCAATCAACGATTGCCGTGTAAAATGCTCCATCGACGAATCTCATGTCACGCTCAACCAACGATTCTCATGCCATGCTCAATCGACGAGTCTCATCTCATGCTCAACCAACGAGTTTCATGTCATGTCCAATCAACGAGTCTCATGCCATACTCAACCAACGAGTCTCATGGCATTTTCAATCAAGAAGTGGCGTGCCATGCTCAAGAAGTGGCGTGTCATGCTCAATCAACGAGTCTCGTCTCATGTCGTGCTCAGCCAGGACGTCTCGTGTGCTGCTCCGGATGCATGCCGTGTGTGTGCAGGGCACGGAAATCCTCGACAAGGAGGACAACGTGCTTGAGCTCGAAGGCGAGACTGTCGTCGTGGGGGACCTGCACGGACAGTTCTTCGACCTTCTCACCCTGCTCAAGACATACGGGGAGGTACGATGTTGCCATGTTGATGTTTTAATTCTGTTGTTTGTTGTGGTCGTTGTTGTTGTTGCCGTTGTTGCCGTTGTTGTGCTGGTGGTCTTCGTTGTCAGGGTGTTGTAGTGTACGGCGTGTTGGCACATGTACAACCCCTTAGAACGACTTTGGTTCTCAGGTCCGATTGTTCAACACGCAGGAGCAGGAGTGCTGCCAATCCCGAAAAAGGCGACCTTGGAAAACACGTCGCTACGAGAGTGTTCCTTGCGCGTATGCATATCGGTCGGTTATCGCACCCTCTTGGTGGTCGAGCAATCGATCTTTGATAACGTCGGTTGAGCAATCGGTCTTTGATAACGTCGGTCGTGCAATCGATCTTTGATATCGTCGGTCGAGCAATCGATCTTTGATGGCGTCGGTCGAGCAATCGATCTTTGATATCGTCGGTCGAGCAATCGATCTTTGATAGCGTTGAACAATCGATCTTTGATATCGTTGGTCGAATAATCGATGACACTTTCACTGTGCCCAGCTTCCGACCTTGTCACACGTTCAATGTGTAGACGGTGTGCAACATAGGCGTCTCTTTCTTGTCATGGCGGTGTGAAGATTTCGGATTGCTGTACTGCTGCTTTGTGCGCTCCGCCACGTGTGTCTGTGCGCGTTGTTGACATTCATCTGCACATAGAAAAAGCGTCCCGATCACTACATTCGTACAGGTCCGACTATCTATCGCACATGCCCATCTACCGTGTTATCATTACCATTCTGGTCGGAATATAGCGTGATTAGCCGAATGGTCCGTATATGTCAGAACAGAGGGGCAAGCTTTTTTTTATGCTATGTTTTTTAATCCGTTTCTTGTTGTCCTGCTTCTTGCCGATGGGCGCTGCCTTCGGCGCGCAGCCTCCCGAAAGACAGTACCTTTTCCTCGGGGACTACGTGGACAGGGGTTTGTACTCGTGCGAGGTGGCGTTGTACCTGGTCTCCCTTAAGCTGGCGTTTCCGAGGGAGGTGCACCTGATCAGGGGGAACCACGAGACGGCCAATCAGACGGCTACTTGCGGCTTCAAGGTGCGTGTATGTGTGTGTGTGTGTTTTTTTTTTTTTCTTGAGAGTGTTCCAGATAGCTGTTGCGGCGTTTTTGGCCCAAACACGTTGTAGTGGCGACCTGGGAAATCCGGGATATTTGCCGAAACTTAGGCCTGTGGCCTGTCTGGAACGCTGTTGTTGTGGGTGTTGTATCGTGTTTCATTTTTAAATGTTTTGAGTAAGCATGATATGCGTGTGTGGCTTGGGAGTTGATTCCGGATGCCCTTCGAGCGGTGGGATGTCTCTGGTGCCACCCACAAGGTGTGACTTTACAGTAGCGTGTGTGTGGTACGGTGCTCCCGAAGGCAACCCATGCCAAAGGAGAGTGTGCCGGTGTTCATCCATTCCAACAAACACCTGCCCCTTCACCCCCCCCCCCCCCCCCCCCCCGCAACTAGCGCGTCGGGCTGTAAAAA